GCACCCCAGAGCAATCCAGAGAACTGGACGCCGGACAGTAAGCTGGGGATGGAAGCGAAAGGTGAGGAGGCCAGAGTTGAGGGAGCCAAGGCAAAGTGCCAGCTCTTGGGCAATTTCAACCCCAAGGCTGTAAGCCAGGGACGGGCCACTGAGCCTAAAATAACCTCCCAAGAGGGTCTAACAGGTCAGTTTGTCATCTGTCCCAGCCCTGGCTTTTAAATCAATGTAATTAATACTGGCTGGGCCCCTGCTATAGGTTCACACCATGGAAGTACAGAGGTCTGGTCCTATATGCGGAAAGGAGGCAAAAGGACAAGAAACAGACAATGAGAGCACTGTAGGAATGAGTGTGTGTTCTAGTGCCAAGCCCTGCGGCTGGAGCCATGCGGGCAGCTAAGATTCACAGAAAGGACGGAGCACAGAGTGCTGGCAAGGGAAGGGGTGGCTTCTAGGAGCTCAGGGGGAAGGCAGAAGAGGACCCTAGCTTTTCAAGGAGAAAGCACGAGGTAGTCTGGGAAGAGTGAGAGTTGGTAGGCCCGACCACAGCAGCACAGACAACAGACTGTGTCTTAAAACCTCTCTCAGCTCCCCATGGGAAGCACGGGGGTCTTACGGGAGGAGAACAAGAGGTGACGTCAGACCAGCAGAAAGACCACATCTAAGAGGTTCCGAATACAGAGAACATCAGGATATGCAAAGTCAGCACACAGAGGCCAGGAGCTCACTAGTTCACATTTTAATCAGGCAACAAAAATTAAAAAAATGAATGTTTGGGGAAATTATTCATTCAGTGATCATGTTTGGGATGGATTAGATGGAATTAGTGGCAAAAGCTCTCTCTCCCCAAACCCAGATGCTTTTTGTGAGTATCGACCAAAAACCTGACTGTGTGTGAACCTCATAGGGCTCTCCTTGCTGAGTTTCATAATCTAGTCATTAAACCCACATTTACCTACTGAGGACCTACTGTGCGCTAAAGGTTGTGCTAACTGCTGAAGAGCAAAGCGAAGTTCTAGCCCTCATGAAATGTGTCCCCCAGTGGGAGTGGAAGACAATATATAATTTAGATGCCAATTCTTTCAACCCACCAAGCAAAGGCACTGAGTGGGTCTTGTGAGATGACGTGCTTAGGACGGCCTCACCGAGGAACTGACATGGGATCTAAAGCTAAAGAAGCAGTAAGTGGAAGTACATCTGCCAGGAACATGAATTCTGAGAGTGGGCTGGGTTTGGAAGAGTGCAGGAAGGTGAGCGTGTCAGATCAAGTGTGCTAAGTAACAACTCCAGGGAATCCACATGCAAGTGTCTGAATGGCACAACTCTAACGGGCAAACGCAGAGGAGATAAAGGCCAGAAGTGTAAATTTGCCTATCTGGGGCTGTGGGTTAGTAGCAAGGCACACGTCCAGCATACATAGGAACCTGTGTTCAATCCCAATGTAGCAAAACAAGCCCTAAATTATCCACTGAGGCTTGAGTGCCAGGAAGCCCTCCCTCTGAACTGATAGGAAACTGATGTCATTAAGGAGAGCTGGAGAGACAGCTTAGTTGATAAAGCGCTCGATTTGAACCAGAGATTGGCTCTGCTAAGAAAAAGAGGAGGAGGAGGGGGGAGAGGAGGAGGGGGAGAGGGAAGAAGAGGAGGGGGAAGAGGAGGAGGCAGCCAGGTTGGTAGTGCATAATCTCAGCACTGGGGAGACAGGTGGGTCTCTGGAGCTGACTAGCCGGCCTGTCTGGTAGAATTGGTGGATTCCAGACTAATAAGAGACCCTTTCTCAAAGAAACAAGGTGGACAGTATCCCAAAGAATGACACTCAAGGTTGACTTCTGGCCTCCACATACATGCAATCCCCCCACACACATATGTACACACACACACACACACACACACACACACAGGAGTGGGGTGGAACTGAAGAGTATAAATGTTTTTAAGTTGGGTGTAAAATACAAAGATAGTTCATACTATGTCCACTGACAATCCTCTTCCTCCAGGCTTCTGGAATCCCAGGGCGGACAGTGGTTTTCTGCAGGCAGCAAGCAGGTCGGAAATAAGGATAATGGTGACAAGAGCAATCACAACTCAACAGTCCGTCTGGGAGCCCGCTGTCCCCTGCCTCAGCAGCAGAAGCACGGCTGTGGGACAGCTCTTGCTCTCAGCTCACCCTTGAATGAGAAGCTGACCCTTTGTGGGTTTTTCCTCACCAGATGCTACTGATCTTTCAGTGTATCGAGAAAAGGGCTTGAAAAATAAACAAAATAAAATTTAGGTAAAATTTAAACTGAAAGGATGAGAAGTGAACATGGGGTAGACTGTAAGGTGTGAGTGACACCCCAGGACTCTAAGTGTTGAAGTGTAACCTCCATTTGAGAGATTAAGGGAATGTAGTGTTTAAAGAAGTGATTACAGTTAGACAAGCTTTATAAACACAGATGCACACTGACACCTTTTATTTTATCCATAATCTACCGCAGAAAAAAGATCCTTGACCTTGGAGCTCCAGAAGCATGAGCTAAATTGACCTACACAGTACTACACATCAGTAACAGAAAATGGACTAACTCAAAAAGGGGAATAGCTGTCCATCCTGCTCAGGACTGTCTCAGCTTCAACATGGGAAGCCCTCAGCAACCCTCAGTCAAACAGAAGGTTGGTCACCTTGTCGCTGGGTTTGATCTTAAACCGTAACCTGTGTCTGACCCAAATACAGCAGAGACCTGTCCTTCTAAAACTGGTATCAGCCAAGTCAAGCTCTTTGTTTCATTCCCAAGCCCTCCCTAACCTCCTCGTCTCCCGTCTGAAAGCCAAGGGGTCTTTCTCCAGCAGACAGAGTTGTGCTGAAAAACCTCTGGACATGACTGACCCTAGATCCTTTATCTTTCTACCCCTGTGATCTGCTTCAGCCCCTGATGTTCCCTCAACAGGCACCACCAAATCCAACAGTGACCCCAATCTGTATGCTGTGCTATCTAGGCACTGGGGCAAGCTAGCGGAGTCAGGGGTCAAGGTCAGGTTATTTTAGAGGGAAGAAAGATGCCCATCTGACAGAGCCCTGGAGAAGGGGAACCCCAGCTGAATTACGACTTTGTGGCTGAGACAGATTGTATCTGAGGTCTAAATTACAGAAACACGGGAAATACGTGCTGCCCAGTCAGTTCTGGGGTTTTGGGTCAGAAACTGGGCTGACTCACCTTCCGAGGGGAAGCCAAGCGGGTACTCTCCTGTCAAGGTATACATCATGTTCTTTCCCAGAAGCCACTATGTCTGGAACCCTCATGGTCATTGGGGAAGCTCCACAGTCACTGCCGCTAGCTACTAGGAGTGCTCCAAAATTATCAGGAAGATTTAAGAACAATGCCAAGACAGAAGTTAAACTTGGCTCGAATCCTCCTTCCAGGGCTTTCCGGCTCAACAAGGTTAAAAGAATAGTAAGCCAAGTCATGTTTCTCCAAGGATAATCCCCATTTGGCCTGGGTTACCTTGATCACTTATGTATCAACTAAAGTGTGAACTTTAATTTCCAAACTTTCATGTCCTTGGCCAATTCCCACCTTTGACAAGCCCTGAAGGACTAGTAGCAGACCAAGGGGGGTGTCAGTAATGCTGCCTTCTGAGTCTGGACAATGACCTCGAACCCCTAAGAATGGCACCCTTTCCCCTCTGCCTCTAGACTCTAACAGGGAAGGTTAAGCAGGCTGTTGCAAGATTGCATCAGTGACCTTTGCAATTTTCTGGCCAGCTGGTTCCCCTTCCTCCCCACCCCACCCCCTGCTTCAAGCCCTTTGGCCTACCTGCCTCTCCTTTTCCCCTACTTTGCTAACACAGGTACACCAATAGCCAGAGCTAAATTAGAGCCACCCCCACCCGGGGGGGTCATGTCTAATCTCAAACTAAGCAGCTTCTAAGAGTGTTCTTTATCCTGGACCCTCACTCCAGGGTCTACGGCACACTCTCCCAAATCTGGGCAGGGTGGCATAGAAGCATTGCAAGAGGATGGAGCATTTCCATTGCCGACTAGTTTTACCACAGACCTTCTTCAAGGCTTGCCCCCAACTTCACTTCTTAAGTGAATGGAGAAGAGAAGACCGTGTGTGTGTTATAAATATATATGATGCACACAGCCTAACACATGCTAGGCGAGCACTCTATCACAGAACCTTATCTACAGTCCTCCTTAATTTTATTTTTGACACAGGGTCTCAGTAAGTTACCCAGGCTAAGCTTGGATTTTCCATCCCCCTGCCTCAGTAGCTGGGATTACAGACCTGTGCTTTGGATTTAATGGCTGTTCCCTGTTACACAGAAATACCGATGGAAGCACCTTACAGACAGAGATGCTTCTCTCTCTCTCTCTCTCTCTCTCTCTCTCTCTCTCTCTCTCTCACACACACACACACACACACACACACACACACACACCTGTGCATTAGAAGGAATCCACAATGAACAACTTTCTATTAGATGACTAGTAATGTCCCCACATTTAGTAAAAGCTCACCAGCCATGAGAGCAGCCTTGTTGTTTTTATTGTTGTTTAGTTTGCTTGCTTGCTTGCTTTTGCCCCCTCCCCTTCCCACCTATACCTGATAGGAGAGAGACCTTTCTGTTTGAAAATGAAAACTTTCAACTATGTAGAACCTCAGATTTTCTCATTAGGGTCTTTTTTGGGTTCCTCTGGGACTACAGGAGTTGGCCACCTACAGACACGAAAAAAGAAAGTGTGTCCTGTCAGGGAAGCATGACATCCATCACCTCTTGGTATGAGTCCTCTTCCTTGGCTACACGGTGAAGTAGTGCCTTGGGCTCTCAGCCTCTGCAGCACCCGCGGTCTAGGGTCTTAGGGTGCACATGGCAGGGGCGTGCACAGCTCGTGGCCACCTCCTCCCCGGGTCCCCTGCTGCGCTACCAGTTCTCCTTCCTCCTCCCCTTTCTTTTCCTGGCGGTTGCAGACTGGGGCCCAGGTCAACGAGCCAGGAGGCGGATCCCAGGCTAAAGATAAAAGGGCTCAGGACGCTGAGCGCTGCAGCTGCGGAGTGTCTCTCCCAAAGAGCGGCGGCCGCGGGAAGGAGGACGCTAAGGACAACCTGACGCACCTACTCCTGACCACCGCCAGCAAGTGCTGTCTCGGCTCGCACTGCACCCTAGGTGAGTCTGTTAGCAGGAACCAAGTGAGGGCGAGAGGCCGCAGGTTCCCTCCCCAGCTGCCATCTCTCCTGCTACCTCTGACTCACCCCACCCCCTCTCCGGCGTCAGGGTCCCCTGTTTTGTTGCTGTCTCCCGCTCGAAGGCTCAAGCCCCCTCTTCTCTGCTACTTCTGCAGGCCCCGCCACCCACAGCCCAGAGGAGCCCAGATGATGGAAAGTGTGCAGGAGCTGATCCCTTTGGCCAAGGAGGTGATGGCGCAGAAGCCCCGCGGGAAGCTGGTGAAGCTGTACGTGCTGGGCAGTGTGCTGGCTCTCTTCGGTGTGGTTCTCGGCCTGGTGGAGACCGTGTGCAGCCCCTTCACAGCGGCCAGTCGTCTGCGCGACCAGGAGGCAGCAGTGACAGAGCTGAGGGAAGCTTGCGAGCAACAGTCCCTCCACAAGCAGGCCCTGCTGGAAAGAAGCAAGGCACAGGAGGTGGAGACCCTGAGTAGCCGGGTCCTGTCCCTCAGGCAGCATGCCTCCTAAGGAGGCGACTGGCAGAGGAGGGAGACAAAGACAAAGAGACAGAGAGACCATGACTCCGGTGGGAGAGAGCAGAGTATCGCGCTGTTCCCAGAAGGCACCGAATCCAGAACTGACCCAGCACAGATCACCCAAGGGGTCTGGGATTGACTTTTGCTGCTATGTAGCATGTACTGTGATTTGTCCAAGGTTGTGGGAGCGATCAAGGAGCTATCATTTTGCATTAGGGAAGGAGATGCGCTTTTTATACTGTTATTTTTATTGTTGTTATTATTATTATTATTATTACGATGACTACCGTTTTTCATTTTGAAATAAAAACATTTTATACTCCATCTCAGTCTTTAATCCCTCTCACCCAGCGCTGTGAATAGCTCTGCTTCATACATGCTGCCCGGTACAACTCTATTCACAGAAGAGTGAAACTATCAAAAGTTCTACAGGTGTTAGCATTTTTGGATCACTATTTGAGAGGGGAGGAGAGGAGAGAGCAGGGGGAGAGGAAATAAGACTGGAGGAGGAGAGGGAAGGAAGTTGGGAGAAAAGAGAGAATAAGAGAGAAGAAAGGAGAAAGAGTGAGCAGAGGGGAAGAGAAGGGAGAGGGAGGATGGGGGCGGAGAAATCACCTATCTGGTGGGAGCAGAGGTTCTCTGCCCAGCTGAACCGGTAGACTCTGACCACCATGAGAAGTTACAACTTAGAAACAGAAAAGACCTTTGTGACAGAACCGAGTCCTCTCCCTGAAGTCAGAGCTGATAGTGTGCCAACAGCTAACATAGTAACACTGTGGGACTCCCCAGAGGTAACCCCTCCCCACCCATGCAGGGCCAAGAGGACATCCTGATACCACTCCCTCGGGATCTTCAATGTCACCTACTCTGACCAGATGTGGGCATGTCACCCTGACTCTCTGCTCTCCCAAGCTACCTTTACATACAGACACTCCATTCCATTTAGGTCCACAAACCCAAACTCCCCAGCGCTTTTGACTCTGACAATTGACATTTCTCCCTAAAATCTGTCCTTGTCATCCCCAGGGGAAGAGCAGTGGTAATGTGGTGTGATTAACAAATGAAAGAGACATGTCGGAAGTTTCAGTGACACCAGTGTTCTTTCTGTTTCCAAATCCAGACACTTGACCCTGTGCTAAGGCAGAGTCCAGCCTTAATGAGCTCAGAGCTCCCAGGAGCTCAGCCAATCTGGCCCTTCGGTCGCTCTTCCAGTGACTGCAGAACGCTTGCTCCTCTGACCATTCAACACCTTGTCCAGCTCCTTTCCCACATTGCCTCACAGGCTGGTCCCCCATCAGAACCTCACACCTCGCTGTTCCTCCATCAACAGTGTAGACACTAAATACCTGTGGGGTTCTAGCATCTCTGTGACCTGTTTCTATCTACCTCTTGTCTGCCTTTGCAGGCTGCCCAGCATGGACGCTGGTTCCCTCGGGTTCCTTTTCTACCCTTTGATACTAGTACCTCCTCACACCCATATTCTCTTTATCTCTGAGGAAGATATACCCCTGAGAATTTCAAAGTTTTCTGCCCATAAGTAAATTATGTATCAAACTGTGTGCTCTGTTTCTTTGGTGTGAAGGCTGTGTTAGGTGTCTATTCAGAGAGTCTGTCTATGTATAAAACACAAGCGGGGCAAGCATACAGATAACACTAACTTATTCAGGTTACAATATAGCATCTCTTATAGATGCTCCCTCACACTGCCCAGCCTGTTAGCCTGAGCTGCTGGAATCTTTTCGCCTCTCAGAATCTTGCAGTTGTGAAGTCCAAGTCTCGTGTCAGCCTGTGCTAGCAGATTTTCCTCTCAACTGCATCATGGGCACATCATGACCCTCACAGCCTACCTTCCTGAGGGGAGAGACCATGTCTTCCTCAAACAGAACAAGTCCCTTACTCCACAGAGACAAAAACTATTCTTGGTCTTATTTGGCAGTGTAAGCATCAACCTAGGAAAGATGACAAAGGAATCTTTGTTGGTTCTGTTGATGACAGGACTGACATAGCAGAGTCAAGATTAATATTAAGCAACAATAATAACAAATTTTGCAGGACTGGACTGAAGCAAACGGAAACTACATGGAAAAGAGTTGTTGTGATGGAGGAAGGCCATTGGTTAAAAAAATAAAGAAACTGCGTGGCTGGCCCTCATAGGTTAGAACACAGGTGGGTGGAGAAAACAGAACAGAATGCTGGGAGGAAGAGGAAGTGAGCTCAGACTCGACAGCTCTGCTCTCGAGAGCAAACGCCTCAGAGAGACGCCATGCTCCCCACTCCTGGGCAGATGCACACAATGAAGCTCCGACCCAGAATGGACGTAGGCTAGAATCTTCCCAGTAAGACAGGTGCTCACAGATTATTAGAGATGGGTTGATCGGGATAACAGAGTTAGCCGAGAAGAGGCTAGATAGAAATGGGCCAAGCAGTGTTTAAATGAATACAATTTGTGTGTTGTTATTTCGGGCATAAGCTAGCAGGCGGCAGGGGGTGCTGGGGACGCAGCCCCGCCGCTCTTATTACTACATTGCTGTCTATTTTATCACACTGTGTAAAGGTATGTCACTGCTTTACTTTGTCTGCCTGAGACAATCAATTGGTTTAATAAAAAGCTGAATGGCCAATAGGTAGGCAGAAGAGGTTAGGCAGGATTTCCAGGAAGAGATAGGAACTCTGGTTTGGAATCTGGCATAGGGGATTTCACCAGCAAGACACCAAGGGAGTGGGAAGTAGAAAATTGAGGAGAGGTAGAAAGCCACATAGCAGAATGTAAATGAATGGAAACAGGTGAATTCCGTTTATAAGAGCCGGGTGGAAACAAGCCTGCGCTAAAGGCCTAGCTTTCATAATTACTAAGAAGTCTCTGTATATTATTTGGCGGACTGGTGGTCCACAGAAAGTCCGACAAGAAAGACATGCTCCATTTGGCATCCAACGTGGAGGCCCAGCCCATATATTCGAACATAGGGTCTAGGAAAGCTGAGAAAAGTCCTGGACACAGAACCCACTGCGCATGGTGTCCAGAGGCATGGTTCCTCTAAGAGGCCATGGTTTGCAGCCAAACACTTAGATGGAGAATACTAGACAGAACAGGATTCTATAGAAATGCCCACGGCAGCATAAACCCAGTAACTTCCCAGAGCTGGGGCGATAAACGTGGCTCCCAGCCGGGGCCCGAGGGAATGAGGCTCGGCTCTCACCCACCCAAGGGGGCAGGCAGAGCCAGTCGCCAGTGCCAGGTCTTAAGTGGAGCCATGTGGCAGGTAGCCTAGTAGCTTAAGGTTTGGCCCATGTGGTCAGAGAAATACTACAAACATGCAAAAGAAAAAATCCAGACCTGGGCTGAGAAAACTTCTAAATAGGTACAGTACGCTTGGATATAAGCTTAGGTGCTCAAGAGTATGAGTATAGACAGTCATAAAAAAGTAAATAGTCTAAAAATAGTAAAGTCTTTAAAGAAAGAGTAAAGTAATATAAGAAGAATAAGGCACAGAAAGATGGGAAATACATAGGGCTTCTGGATCCTGTACAGTACTCTGCTAACTTTGAATTTTTAAGAATCTATTGAACAAAAAAAAAATGACAGCTAAGAAATATCGGATTGTGGAAAAGGCTACTAAATGAAAGCAGCCTGTACATTTTAAGAATATCTTAACTTTAGAATGGAAATCAGGAAATGTGTTGCATTAGGGGAGAGGTTTTGCCTTTGTTTCCATGGGAAACAAAAAGCTATAGATTCCTTCAAAATTAACAAAGACCAGATTGATTTGCAAGAGACCTCCTGAAAATCTTGGCTGCAGACATAAAGGGAGAAATCAAGAAAAATGCTAGAAGACAGGTGATGTATAAGCTGATCCCTCTGTAACGGGAACAGTTATGAGATGGGTGAGACACGATGCGTCTTGTTGGCTCGAGTCCTTATGACTTCTTATGGCATGCTGTTCTTTCGTGTGGCATAGAGATTTATATTACAGTCTCGTTATGCAGTCCAAGCAGACTTATAAAGTTGACAGATGCCGTTTACCTGCTCAAACATAGACCAGAAAATCATCTTTAGCTGACGAAACACTATTCATTCCATACTTGTTAATGCAGGTCTGTTATCTTTACAAAACACCAATAAAGATAACTCAGGTAATTCAGCCTCTCAGAATGCCTCTGCTGCAGTTTCCTCAAAGATCAGAACAACTTCAAAACTAGTGTCTGAGACGGTCCAGCCTCATAGGCTACTCGAGCCAGGACTTCAGATAAGCCCTGAACTTCCCCATTACGCAAAGACTGGACAAATGATACAGCTAGTTTTCCCAGGACTTGACCATTATTTCAATTTTCCCCAGGGCCCCCAAGGATGTCATCACCCCCACACAACAGGAAGAAGCACTGTAGAGTACACGATGCTCATGTTTGTCTTTTGAGGTGGTTATTTGTAAATTGTTATTGGTCATGGTCAGGGAGGAAAGGATGTTAGACTTGGGGATCTCTTTCTGAGAAAAACAAAGGGAAGCATAGAAATGATAGGACAAAGGGGTAAATTACTAAACCTACTTTTAAACTAAAAGGCAACTACTAATCTCAAGTATTTTATATAGATATGGATTTTTGTATATTGATACAAATTTAAGGTTATTTTGTTATAACAAGCTGTATACATGTTTCTACTCTTGTTTAAGGTGTTGCACCTATGCAGTTCATTTAACAATGTAATGTGAACTTCTAAAGCTATTATTATAAACTACTTAGGATAATTAAGAAATGTAGGTTAGTAGTTAGTCATCTGTAATAATCAAATTTGTACTCATATTATGTATATTCTCAAGGTTAAACAGACATATTTTAGATATATAGATGACCTTTAAAGCCTTCAGAGAGCTACATAATATGGCATCTAAGATGTTTTAATAACACAAGGTTTTTCATGACAGTGAGACATGTCTGCCCCTGGCAGCACCAATCTACTTCCAAGATGATGGCCATTGAAGAACCTCTATATGGAGTTTGCTTTCATTGTGGCAAGGTTAACCAGTGGGCATAAACTGTCGTAGCCTCGACTGTTGACAATATGTTGTCCAAATTGGACACACAGGACACAAAATAAGGGAACTGTTGAACTTTGCCAAGACAAGATAGGACAGTTCTTCAAAATTCCTGCTCCCCAGAAAAGTCTGTAAGATATTCTAGGTCTGTAGGCAAAAGAGATGTCGCAACATTACAGAGACAGTTTAGGTGACGGTCCAAGCAGTCAGCTGTCTCTGTCACTTCTATAGTTTTGGAAGTTGCTTGCTCTGCACTTCCTGTTTACTCAGGTAATA